AGGATGAACAAGGACACGACTGTAATCATCCCATAAAGCCCGGTCACCTGGCCTAATGTCACCACCCCCCCATACTAATGGAGCCGCCCACCAGCACTGTCCTTCATGCATAAATGCTACTGTATGCCACCTCACTAGAGAGGATACCTCACCCGGGCTAACGGCCCCTCTGTCTGTATGTAACGTTCAGAGGCAAAACGTTAAAGCGAAATGCATCATACAGGGTCCGGGGCCACCTTCAGGGCAAACACATTTGGCCTAAAATTACATGTGGCTTCGAGTTCGTTGGCATCATTCCCAAAGCATTCTGGGAACAGTAAACCCAAAATGGAACCTCCGACTCTGAAAGTGAAGAGCCTTGCATGAAGGGCTCAGAGGCAGGCGGGGCTGGCTCAGATCTCACACCGTGGCCGGGTAGGTGTGTGCTTTCCTCTGTCATCCAGCCAGTCACATGCTTGTCCTGCACCTCCATGTGACAGTGACAGGAACACACATGTAACACACAGGCTACAGGTTTGACAGCACGCTGCCCACAGGGCTGAGTTCACTGCTCCATCTGAGCCATCGTGTTTATACATCAGTTTTCCCCCCGCCTCTCGTTCATGTTCACAGCTAAAGGTATAAATGGATTTATTGTGTTTCCTCATCCCCAATGACCGCCCCCCAACAACCCCCAACATGTTTTGCCCCCAGCATCAGTTGTTAGTTAATTCCTTGCCAAAACACTGCTTAAATTTCCTAGGTCTGTCCATGGTTTAAAGAGCACAGGTTTCCTTGGGTGACAGTTGTCCTGCACTCTGCTCATAAACACGAGTCTGCTTTCAGTCAGTAACTGACAGGACTCCCCCCGATTCCACCTCCCTGACTGCAGCACATGCTACACATGCTCTCCACCACACGTGTGGTGGCCCCTGGGAGCCACAAACAGTATTTACACTAGGGAGGGCAGGAGGACCCAGAAACATCACGCCTGGCCTTGCACACCTCCATTCCATCCCCCATAGACCCTCACCATCAGCCCCCCCCCCCCCCCCGGCATGAAAAGAATGACTGCCTGATGCCACAGGGAGTGTCCCGCACATGAGGTGACATTCAAATCCCCCCCCCCCCCGGCTCAATAAAACACACAGGAAACAGCTGGGGAGAGATAACAACCATGACTTTAATTAGCAGGCGGCCTAATTAACAGTCGGTTTTGTGTTTCTGGCACGGCATGATGCACGCAGACGACTCCGTTCGAAACCGAACCGCGCAGACCAACAGCAGCCAGCCCAGCAGACATGCACTGCAATATGACGTGTGGGAAGAGGGGCGGGGTGCAGACAGCAGGGCACCAATCACGGAGGGAGCGACAAACGTAGGGCACCATGGTGGAAACTGATCTAGGGTATAAGGATTCTAGGATGGCAACTGTACTACAGTGTTAGGGTGGTAACTGAACTACAGTGTTAGGGTGGTAACTGAACTAAGGTGCTAGGGTAAGAGGGTGATTAAACTGGAGTGCTAGGATGAGCAATGAACTAGGGTGTTGACAGAACTCAAGGATGCTAGCATAATGGATTATGGACATAGGGTAATAAATGATCTAGTGTGCTAGGGCACTAGAGTGATAGATGAACTTGGGCGGTAGGCTAGTTACTGCAGACCCAGCTTTCTTCTAAGACATGCCTGCAGTGAGGGGCATGCAGTGCAGCTTTTACAACTCGGAGCGAAATGCTGACAGCGGCAGGCTCGGATGGGCGTAAATCTGGCGCGTGCTCCGCGATAAGGCCTGAGGAAGCTTCTAGACAGCTCCCATCGCCATCTCTCCCGCTGTCCGCGGAGCCTCGGACGAGGCGAAAGGCCCATGAGCGCCGCTCCTTCTCCCGTCAGCTTGGTGCCGCACTCATTTCCACAATCATTTCGGGCGGCCGCCATGAAAAACTGCCCATTTTCACTTTTCTTTAATATGAGCGTTGTCAGACCACCAGCTCCTCCCCGAACCACCAACAACACTGAGGAACAGCTGGGAGTGCTGGCCTTGATACTTGATACAATCACAATCCCATCACACTTACATATTCTGACATCTTAAGTATTACATACTGGTATGGGCCTTGGAGCAGCCCTCTGGACCATCACATATTGCCCATCATGTTGTATGCTCTGCAGTGGTGGTTTTTTTACCACCATCATGCCACAAATCTGCGTGAGGCCCTTGAGGTTTGGGGGCCCCCTGTTGGCCACAAACAGTCACTACAATGGGGGAGGGCCCAAACTGACTTTCGGAGTGGGGGCCCAGAAACAACAAACCCACCCTGGGAGAGGCCGCCCACACACTGCCGCGATGCAAGTCACATGGTCTGTACAGAAGCCTCCCCCACATAAATCAATAACCAAATTTTATTTATTAGACAGAAGCTATGGAGCTGGAGCCCAAGGGCCCCACTGGGCCTCCCCGCAGGCCTGCTCGGAACTGGACTCGAACCCACTGCAGTAAAAATAAAGAAATGCGATAAGTGAGTAACAGAGAGTCGGACGCCCATTGTGCCGCCACCGAGGTAAAACAGGGCAGCGTTAGCAGAGGATGCTAATTTTCCCTGTGGAAACCAGATGCAGTTTAGCTGGTTCACCGACAGAGCAGCGCTGGCGCCATATGTGACAAGATATTTATTATAAAGAGTCTTGTATCAATTGCTGTCTCAGTACTGTAATATTTGGAGAGGGTCAGCAGTTTTTAGAGAGAATGAGAAAATACCACACACACACACAAACACCCCATACAAACTCAATCCAGGTACTGCTTTAACATAAGCTGAGCACAGGAGCTCAGCGGAGCAGGAGAACCCTTCGAGCTCCAGGGGGCGCCGCGTCTGTTATGAGCAACAGACAGGAAGCCGCCCAACTGTAGGTATCGTTTCACGGAGGGCGGCCCCCGCAAATGCCAATTGCTCGTTTCTCGAGTCTGAGAAACTCAAGAGCCTTGCTCCTGCTTAGCGGCACTAAGCTCAGCAGAAATCGCACGATAGGTAGAGCAGGCTGTCTGGGTGTCTCAGAAGACCTGCCCGCCTGAGGCTGCTCCTTCTGGGCTTGTCCCCTCCCGCCCGGCCCCATCCCCTCCCTGATAGCTTGGCTGAACTCCACACCAAATATTTCCACCCGTGGCAGTGTGTGGTTCATCCGCCGCCAGCCCCAATCTTCCATGGAAAGCAGTGCAGAAAGAAAAGATTAAAAAACAGAAGTCTACAGCTTCACTAAGTCAGAAAATAGACATCCACTCACATTTAAAAATGTGTTTGGTAAATCGACTAAAAATCCACTCACTCCATTCTGGTGTGAAATCCGGAAACCAAGCCCCAGTAATGGATCAAATGTCACGTTGGATCCTGGAATGCCCACTGGTTTGTCGGTCAGCTAAACGTAAGAAAGTCTTTCATAGTTTTCCTCACAGGAGTTCCGTGCAAAAGAACAGCAAACATCCCAAGGATACCCTACATGCTGTGAATGACTCCTGATCTGACAGGCTATAGTAAACTCATCCACCGTCCCACAGCAAAGGTGACTAGAGGGACAAGGACTGAGAGATGACGAGGGGGGAGAGAGTGGCACTCTGAGGGGGGGATCCACTACTATGCCAAAGAGGTACCAAAGAGTACATAACAGCGAGCACAAACGGTCAGGCCACCCGGCAATAAGTGATCTGAAGCCCTATGGCAAGTGCCGTCTTTCCCACCGCAAACATAATCCTTTCAACATGCCATGAAATTATGACTGTGGACAAATAACACCAGTCAATTACTGTAACATCAGGCCTGGCTTCCATCCAGTCCAGGCTGTGTTTGTAATTCACCCAAAAACACGTGTCAAACAGTGACAAAGGCCAGCCACAAGTGGAGAAGGCAGTATCTCTCCAAAGATCAGGCAACAGCAAACTAAAGTGACATTAAACATAGTGAGTGCTTGCGGGGATGTGCAGACTGTACGGGCAATTATGCAAATCGGGCATCTCGAGGCCCTTTAAATGGTCTGTGCCCGACGGAGTTATGTTCTTATCAATTTCATTTTACACATCTGCGATTTGATTGCTGTAATTCACTTCAAGCTGGATAGAAGTGCTGAATCATTAATTTAACAGGCAGCAAAAGAGCAATTTTATTTTAATCACTTAAATTACGCGGCATCCAGAGATGGTCTCCTCCCAGCTTGTTAAACACATTCATTAATTATTTTTCCCACAGTCCTTTCCGGAACTTTCCTTTCGTAATTATTTAGTAAATTATGCAAAACACGCTAGAAACTTTAATAATAATAAAAGAAATACCCCCCTAACCCTGAGCTTAGCTGGCTCCATTCTCTTTGATGATGGGAGGGGGTTGTGGGGGGTTTAGGGTAGTAGATGTATAAGTGGCAACCTGAAAAGATCTGAATTTTTTTTGCCGTGAATCCATTTGCGCGAAGCCCTTCACCTTGGATTTCCGCAGGATATCCGAAGGCGAAATGGAAACGCAGTCTGGGCTGAAAGCGCCCCCAGGAATCCAGAGCATTACGTGCCGTTCCAAAACATGAACACCATTATTTTTTCTTGTGTTTGCAGCTTCGGCATCGTCAACATCATCAATGTCGCTCCCTAATCGAACCGGAAAGGAAATTTCAGGCCTCATTAATCGATTTTTCCCACGGATTTTAATAAATCAGCTGACGCACGAGAGTGGCAGCATCAGTAGGCCGTGCAACTCAAACGAAGGCAGGACGATGACAGACAGTAGAGGCTGCGAGGCCCTGATGAGCCCCATGAACTGGTGACCTGCATTAGGAATCCGTAATTGTCCTTTTACAAAGAGCCATGCGCTGCATACACCCAAATATTTCAGGCCTAGCTGGTCTCCTAGCAACCACAGCTAAAGAGCAGCTGCTTTGATTTTTGACAGGCGTGTGTTTGTCTCCCAGTTACAGTGTAACCTTTAGTACTTACACAATAGATCTGGCCTGTTTTTGGTCTTGGGGGGGGGTTAAGCTCTTACCTGCTGCCATCTGCATGTACCCAGCCAGCGTGCAAACCCTCCGCTCACACGACCCACTGGGGAGGAAGATGGTGATGATGGCCAGCAAGGAGCTGACAGCCAGCAATGCACAGCCCCCGGAGCACAGCACCGCACTAGTCTGCAAAACACAACGTGCACCAGTAGGGGTCACTGCACAGCACTCAGATCAGGCAAGAGTGTACACAATTCAAATGTGCATTTTCCTGTAAAAATGTCATTAAATTGCTGGCAGTATTTCTCACTGAGCTCTGTGTTACACTGACCAATGCATAACAAATATTATAAATAAAATATTATAAGAGTCCAATTCAGCGTGACTGGTGCCAATCCTGGATGAATATTCCCTGACTCTGCAATAATATATGCATAAGCAATGAGAAGTTAGAGTAACTTGTATTTTCATCACAGATCATCACAGTATCTCTGCATTGTTGAATTCAGAGAGCTTTTAAAGAGTATTTGCAGAGAAATGGAGTAATCACAAAGTAAAAACGATGGATATTTTTTGTCCTTGTCTGTTTACACTTACGAACTTTCAGACATACGAATGAAGAGGACTGAAAATCCAAATTGTGTTTGTTGGGCTCCCGTTTCTCAAATATTTTTTTCCGCGCGCCAATTGCACCTAGTACGGCTTCTGGCCGCTACTCCCACCCCGCAGCAGTGTAGCGTGCGTACTCCCAGCATCCTTGTTCTTCGTACTTGCGTATACCCTTAAAACGATGTTGAATAACATCAACATTTCAAGTTACGAACGGCCGTTCGGAACGTATCTCATTCGTAAGTAGAGGAGCGTCTGTATATTCTTGCAGTCAGATCGTTACTGAATACATTAATGTTACTCTATGGACTATATGATAGCAGCTGTGAAGCTCCAGCACTGCTAGATTCACACATCTTACTGCATAGCTAACAGGTTCAGCTCAAGTGATCTGACAGAGTTTTGATAAAAGAATTTTAAAAGGGTATATCTTAAGCATCCTGTCATTTCTTTTAAGTCCGACCAGCATTAATCTAGCGGAAGAGACAAGGGGAGCCTTAGGTTAGAAGTTCTCTCTCAGAAGCCCGTCTGTGACGCGGTAGAGCGGCAGCAGGAGCAGAGCCGGCGCCTGGATGTGCTTCAGCAGAGCGCCAGGAGGGACACGGTCGGGGTTTGTTTACGGTTCAGCTCAGGGTTTTGTGGCGCTCCAAAGGCGTGTCTCATGTGTGCCTCCCGCCTTCCCACATACCACACAGGGACTGGAGGCAGCCCAGTAACGGCTTTGCTCCCAGCGCGCCGACTGATGTGGCGCCCGCCTCATTAGCTC